GTATGGAGCCACTTATCATACGAGAAAAGCTGGAATATGTGAAGTTACAATGACCATAGAGTGCCACGGGACGAGATAGAGCAGAGAAGAACTCTAAATCGACGCGTTCAAAGGGATTGAGTTCAAGTTGTTCGTAGACCCTGCTCGGCATTTTGTGGCCGCTATGACCTTAAACATTCCAGCTTTTCACGCATGATAAGTAGCACCCCGGTCTCGTCCCTCTGAAAGGCTCATTCCAGAGTTGCGACGTGTTTGTTGCGTCTTTTGATCCTTTGGCAGACAGGTCCTTTATTTCGCAGCGTTCTTGCGCCACAATCCCCACCAAAAGTTCTAGTTGTCTCGTAACTCCGATGCCTATAGCCCTCCAAATCCACTGCTCTACTCTGCTACACTCAATAATTTCAGAGCTACTAAAACACCTTTGTCGGCAGCATCGAACGCACGACTTCGGCGGCCAGTTGAAAGGACTCAGTGGCTTCTCAACCATGATTCAATTGTACTTGTAAAAGTACTGTTTATCCTTCACTTTGGCATCCCTTTCTTTCATTGTAAAGCACATCCTTTCACAGAAACTCGGTGAAGGCGCTTTTGGCGAAGTGTATTTGGCCGAATACGGTAGCGGCAAAACCAAACAGGAGGTTGCCGTGAAAACTATGAGGAATGAGGTAAGTCTGTAGGAGCCTCGATGAGACGTTGATCAGTTCCTCTAGGATGTGCCATGCATTTGCCTTCTTGAAAGTTGCAGAGACAGTTGATTTTACATTGAACAACCAAATGTGACCAAATGTTCAACCTTGTGTCTCCCTCGACAAATCGTTGAACACCCTACTGAAGAGATTACATATTCAGGCTACAAGGGATGCACGTTTAAAATTCATGAAAGAAGCTCGACTAATGCGAAAATATAACCACAAACATGTGGTGAAAATCCTTGGCGTAGCAGTACACGAGCATCCTCTTATGCTTGTGATGGAGGTGTGCCCAAGTGAGTTTGTAACTAGCATCGTAACTGGAGCGCGCTGCCAATGTGAGGAGTGTTTCTAGATGTGCTATGGGAAGTCGTAGTTGATCAGTGAAGATGGGTGTTTGC